TCCTCTCCTGGGCGTTTTTCTTAGGGGCAGAATACCATATAACTGATCATCTGCATAATGATTCTACTCTTATAGCTCCATCTGTTAGAATAGTCGTTGAAGTCTCATTACACTACAGTTTTGTGTGAAATGTTCAGAGGTTGTCGCACCAGTTTGCTAGTAGTTTAAGAGCACAATTTAGGGTCCTCTCCTGGGCGTTTTTCTTAGGGGCAGAATACCATATAACTGATCATCTGCATAATGATTCTACTCTTATAGCTCCATCTGTTAGAATAGTCGTTGAAGTCTCATTACACTACAGTTTTGTGTGAAATGTTCAGAAATTCAAAGTTGGAACTATTCTGGGTTGGATTATAGACTACATATATCTTGGAGTGGTTTTGACATTTTTCAAGCATTTAATCTGATTATTTCGCATATGTTTTGTGTCAAGCCCATACCCTTGATTGGATCGTAATGTGATGTGAGGACTTCTTTTACTCCAGTCAGAATCCCACATGCTACTTGCCTGTATTCAGTTAGAAGGTACAGGAGGTAATCTGGAATTGGTAGTATTTCAGTTTGCCACCCGAAAGTTTTGTTTCCATAATTTTGAACATGTCTATATCATAGGCAAGTAGGATTTTCTGGTCTTGGATCTTTTTGCCCTGTGACGTCCCTCCAGCATTCCACTGGATGATCTGTAGACGTAGTGATTCGCCCTGACGAGAGCGATTTCTCTTATAAAATTGTTTCAAGCTAATCGTAATAAATAGAATTCAAAATGACGATAGATATTTTTATTTCAGCTATAACATTGCCAAAAATCGAGATCAAAGCCTTTCATGAATATAAAGAATATCGAAAAAAATATTTTGTCTTCAAATGCAAATAATTGCAAATTCTCATATGTATAAAATATGCATAATATGCTACGGACCAGTCCTCTGTTTTTTAAAACAGCATTTCAAAACGCCCTGTCTGTAGTAAAGTCGACTTGATGATATAAATGATAAGACTTATT